AGTTGCCGTATGCTCGGCTCTACACAGCAACACAACTTTTTCTTGGTGAACAATCGAGATGACATAGGCTTGTGTATTTGAACGAATCGGTCTTTTTTTTTTACACAGCTCATAATATGCAGGTGCCAGGAGATCTGCTAATCTTCAATTTTACTTTTTTCTACAACAAAGAAAGTGGGAAACATGGGGGGTGGGGGCGTATCAATAAGGCAGCGGGCATCGGATCGGCAGACAAGGTGTGGGGGGAAACTAAAAAATGGCGGAAAATTGAAAGCACTGAACGTTAGATCTATAGAACAAAGACACTTCCTTTTTTCCGGACCGGTGTCCGAATAACATTTTTTCTTATTCGGACTCGAGTCCGAATATGAATTTTTTTTATTCGGACTCGAGTCCGAATATGAAAAAATGTTATTCGGACTCGAGTCCGAATAATGACGGCCTTCTCTGAAAGTTGAAAGGTTTCCGTTCTCGAGATTTGTTGATAATAAGCGAATGGAGTGGCGCGTGTGTGTGTGAGTGTGTCTGTAACTGAACAGGAGGGGGGGGGGGGCGGCGTGGAGGGATTTCAGTTTTCGCTGGGTGACTAAATGCAAAATAGGTTACTGCCAAGGTCGAGAAGTCTTGTATTCTTGCAGTACCTTTTGAAGGTATTTTCAAATGAAGTGTAGTCCGGGAACGTTGCCCCAACAACAACTGAAGTGTATCTGAATATTCAGACATTTAAAAATCTCAAGCTCTAGAAATTGAATTTGATGCAAAAAATGCTTCTTCCCAATTTTCGCAGAATGGCAGAATGGCAGAATGAAAGGATGACGCCTAGATCTAAATCTAGATCTAGATCTAAATCTATAAGGCAAGGTGTGATAAATACTAGACTAGATCTAGATCAAGATCTTGCAAGCTAAAAGATGGGACAGAACAGTGGCTGGGGATTCTAAAGTCTAAGGCATAGCGAGCAAATGAGCAAAGAGAGAAGGACAGTGGGTAGCACGAATTGATCTGATCAGCTGACGAAGGACAAGATCAGAGTGAGAGTTGATTGAAGAGAAAAAAAGCGAAGAACAGATAGGGTATGGCTGGCTACTGAGGGGCGAGGGGGAAGGACAGAGATCAGAGATCTAATATCTAGATCTAGATCTAGATCTACCGCACGCGCGATCCCCGTAATCGAGACAATCCCGATCTTAGTTCTTAGAGTCTTAGAGTCTAGATTCTAGATTTAGATTCTAGATCTAGATCTAGAATCTAGATCTCTAGAGTCTAGATCTAAATAAAGCCAATAAAGATCTAGATCTAGATTTCTAGATCTAGATCTAGATCTAGATTCTAGACTCTATATCTAGATCTACATTTCATGCTTTCAGTCTTCGTGTGTGGGAGGACAATTAAAAGACAAGTCTTAGTTACATATACACATTTAAAACAGAAACCTTAAAAACAGAAATAACCAAAAAAATCCAGTCTCCTTACTTTCAGAATGTTGACTTCACACACACAGAACACCGCTGACTGCTGTGTTATAATGTTGTTGTGTTTGGCGCAAAATTTGGGGTCAAAAGGTTTCACTTCCCGTTGACCTTTGGGTTTTTTTTCGGAAATCCTAAGATTCGCATTATTGTCATTGTTACAACATTTTGATGATTATTATGTTTTTGTTATGAAACTACGGACCTTATAATAAACTTCCATTTACCAAATGCGTTGTCAGATTTTGAACGTTTCCTGTCCCATTTTTTAAAACTGGATAGGAAGGGCTAGACTAGAGTACAATTCTGTGACTTTTGCAGAACAATGCATGCATTATTATAATCACAATAATAATATTATTATAACTGAATAGTGGAAGGTGTCATTTCCATGTGTCCATCTGTGCCGATACAGGCCTTCATTTAATTGTGTGGTTTTGTTTGTGTATTTTATTATCGTTGTTGTTGTTGTTGTGTGTTTGTGTTTGTGTGTGTGTATGTGTGTGCGTGTGAGTGTGTGTGTGTGTGTGTGTGTGTGTGTGTGTGTGTGTGTGTGTGTGTGTGTGTGTGTGTGTGTGTGTGTGTGTGTGTGTGTGTGTGTGGAGGGGTGGGGGGAGGGATTGCGATGTTGCTCTTTTGCTCTTCGTGATGAATAACTGCTGCAGCGTTTATTGTTATGCCTAAAAAGTAGCCTACGTACGTTTCGTGAGCTCGTTAGATGTTATACCGTGCGGGGTTTTTTTGGAGGCGCGCACGCGCCCTTTTAGTTCTGTGATCGTTTCTAACTCGTCTCGGTTCTCCCAACAACGACAAAACCACGACAACCATGTGTTAATTTACCGCTTCGTTTGGCAACATTCTCTTCAGATGTTGCTCATCATGAATTCCTCGTCTACTGAAAAGATCCAGTAATGAAAGAAAGACATTTTTTTTTTTTCGCGAAACGCACCTGGTACATAAAACACTCACTCTGCAAACATGAAACAGTATCTTACCCCGAAAAAAGGACAAAGCTATAATAGGCAATATTATTATAGAGATCAGATGTATATCATGCTTTTTTTGTTTGTATTTGTAAAGTGTTTTACGGCGCTCGCAACTGCATACGGTCATATGAGCGCGCGGGACATACCTACTATTTTCAGTTGGTAGGAAATTTTGAATTTAGCCCGGGTGACGGCCGAAGCCTACTCTTATCGATTTTAGACCTCCAAGGGATCTTTAACGTGCGTAACTTGCACACGAGCCCTCCGAGATTTTTCGACCTTGTCCGAAAAGGCTAGGTGTAGATCTTTCCTACCAGAAGATCAGGGGTATGACTGAAAGACAGCAGTCAGAAGAAACGAAGGAGTAGCAGTGCAGGCTGCAGAAAGAATCAGGGGCCCAGAGGAAGGGGCAAAGGAGGTGAGGGGGTGGGGGCAGAAAGAGGAGGAGAAAGCAGACGACAGAACATTGCTAGAGAACAGGAAATGAGATGAAAGGAGACAAATTTAGAGAGGAAAATGTTTCGGTCGCTACCCGGATTCGAACACGGGACTTTTTGAATGACAGGCCAACATCTCAACCTCTAGGCCACGAGAGCCCCCTATCATGCTTAGCACCTCGCTGCGACC